TTTCTAAAATAAAATAATCCACTTATTTTCTAAGTCGCTTCAGATTATAAAATATAATTCAGATATAAGATTCCAGTATAGGGAGATTAAAAGCAGAATATGACATGATGGCATTCTGTACAATCGACCACTTTATCAACTTACCAGCAGAACTCAAATTTACATGGTGGGTTGCATGTAATATGCATACAACCCTGGTTTTTCTCTATTGGTCGTTTACATCTTGGACAGGGCTTGGAATTTGCCAAAATCCTGAAAGTCAATATGGAATTTAGCAGCAATAATACATAATGTGAAGCATCATGCACCCTAATGCTAGGAGATGGATGAGAAGAAACCGAATAGACTTTCTTCTAACAGTTAAAAATGTAATGTATCCACCATTTCCGCTCCCTTGGGCTATACAAAATGGTGGCCATCACAACCAATAAGTACCCAGATATCTTAAGAGCTCTAAGCACCCTTTCAAGGTCGAGCACAACATCCCAAACATCTTAATCTACATATATCTCAACAATATGTGATAAATCAACATACCAATTCATATTCTCAGACTCAGCGCTATTCTTCAATACCCACTTAGAAACAGTCTCACAATCTACAGGACGGTGAGCTTCTTCAGCACACTGCGATCCCATGACGATCATGTCATTTGGTTATGGTCGTGTCAATTAGTTTCTAGCCAGTGGAAAGGTGAAAATCTAACTGAAAGAGAGACTTACATTCCAGCAGAAACTGTAACAACAGCGACAATTCACATCATAATTACCACTCCCGACAACAAAATTTACAGCGTAGTCACAGCCTGGAGCAGGACACCACTTGGTCTACAGAAAAAAGATGCATTACTATCTCAGTGAGCACATAATATGGAAGGACAAATCAACATGATGCACATGTCTTAACCTATGATCAAACTGAAATTGCTAGCTTACCTTTCTATTGTCTTCAACGTATGATCTAACAAAATAACTTGTGTACTTGTGCCTATCTTTATCAGGAGCTAACAGATTGATCATATCCTGACCAATAGCAGCTTTGCAAGAAGGATCTGGGCATCGTAACATAAGACACCCTGGACCATCATTAATCGCGGTGGTGATATAACCTAAAGATGGCGGAAAATGTCAGATAGATGACCCAACAACAATGATTGTAATGCTCAAATCCTGCATTACTTAAAACTGAAGACTGTAATGGAGCATAAGGTACGAGTTACCGACATCAACGGAAAAACAAAAAACAGAACACTGCAAATAAAAGGCAGGATCAAGTTTGGAAATGGGTGTCAATACCTTCCCAGCATGATTCGCAAAACGGGTGACCACAAGCAGCAGCATGCAATTTGTCAGATAGGAAAGTCTCGAAACAAATACCACAAGTAAGCTGCCCAAATG